GAGGATGCAGGTTTACAACAGGGATCAAAGCACATCAACAGGAGTGGGCAGGTAGCTAGCATGAGATGATTTTTGCAATGCTCAGCAGCAACAAAGCAGATAAGGTGTAAAAAGAGAAAGAAAAGCGGGGAATAGATCTATTTATTATGAGCTGAAATAGACCCTATTCTCCAAAGAGGCCCATTCTTCCAGACCAAATATGAAATTGTTATTTCCAGCATGTTTAACAAAGGGATCCACCTTGCAGATGCAGAAAATGGACTTTGATTGTACCAGCATTAACAACTCTACCTTCTCTTCTGTGACAACATACAGGCTTTGATTCTAGGTCCATGAAGGTAGTTAGCTTGATCTAAGACTGCTATAGAATCCATCCTTTTCAGCCAGCATGTCTTTACAAGAATTGTTATGTACTTTCTTTCTTATAAAGCCACATGAGCAATGGCTACTGTGGCCTCATCTGGAATTTATTTGTATTATGTTTTTATTACTATTTTTACTTATTTATGTTAGCCATCCTGAGGCTCTGTGAAAGGATGGCATATAAATATTCTAAATAAATAAATAAAAATAATAAAATCTGCCAAAATGCACAGTTTTGAAAATGGAAGGGATTTATGTTTATTTCTTATGACTGAGAATTAAGAAATGTTAAGACTGAGTCACAGACTGAGAATTAAGAAATGTTAGTGGTAAAAGTCTTAATTCTTCAAGAAGAAAAATCATATTTCAATTTGTTCTTTTAACATTCAGACAGTGCAGATTTCTCAAGGAGAAGTTGCAAGCAGAGCTGCAGCTACCTTCTCTCTCCCTCCCTCCCTCCCTCCCTCAAACAAATCTAAATTGCATTTTCGTCCATACACAGAAAAAGGATTTTCATGGTGGGATACACAAACTTTTTATAAGAACATATGAAAAGCCACTCTGGATCAGACCAATGTGCCATCCAGTTGAGCACTCTGTTCACACATCGGCAGATCAATTGCCAATTGAATTATAGTAATACTAAAACAACAAAAAAACTAACCCTCTTAACAATAAAATTGAGGAGGAATAAAGACTAGAAAATCAGCAATGGTGTGAGCAATATATCTAACATGCGAGCAAATGAAAATATTGCACATTGGCATCAGAAATAGTACGATGACAGCTCAGAGCTTTCAGGAAAGTTATGTCTGAAAGTTTTGCCTAAAAGGCCCTCTCCTGCATGGATGCATAACGCACCTCACCTACTGATGGGACTCAGAAACATCTCATCTGTGGATCATAATGCATGGGCAGGTGATATGGGAGGAGGCACTCCACCAGGTATTACATCCCAGGATATCTACAACTTTAAAACCACACACCTGCACTTTGAATTAATTCAAAAGCAAGGAGGCTGTCAATAGAATTCCTGCAGGGTTGTTGTAATATAGTTTCACTTAGGTAAACGACTCAGAATTCTACATGTGAAAACCAGCCTTCTGCTCATGTGATATGACTTCTTCTGTTCCCACATCCCCTCCCAAAATCTGTCCTAACACTTCAGAGCAGTTTCTCAAGAGCATGGACAGCTGATGCACAATCTCCCCACCCCATATTCTGCTGACAGAAGTATAGCCATTAGCGGGAGGTTTCAATGGATACCACCTGGAATTCTGCACTGATCAAAGCTTCAAAAGGCACCCTACATGCAGCACATCACAACCTGAAGATTACTAAAGCATTGATTACTATAGCCCAGGAAAGAGCAGAGTTGATGAAGGTGTTCTGAGCTAAGAAGCCTAGCTTACTTTGTGTGTGAGTGAGAGACAGTGAGTGCTGAGCGGGTGTGGTGATACTGCAACCGTTATTAGGTGACTGGATCCCATGGGAGCAAGGAATCCTGGAAAAATGAAAACGCTCATTGTACCTCAGACCACAGCTTGGCTATATATTCAGGATCCTGGAAAAGTTTCTTGTCTTGCATCTTTACCAGTTCTCCCCTCTGTGAAATAGGACCCCATTGAAAAAATTTGTGTTTTCGGGCTTGGACCTCATTTTGCACTGCAAACAGATTGCTGGCCAAGTTACATTGAGCTACACAAGCCCCTTCGCCACAGCAAGGCAGTGATCCATGGAGGGGAAGTTACTTATTAATATATATTTATTGTGAAAATGGTGTGTTGTGACTGTCCCATGGCTCAGAAAGTTGGCAAAGCCCACTCTATCATATGGTGCACTATTTTCCAGTTTGTTTCAGCAATATTCTCCTTTGCAAGCAGAGCTCTGTGGAAAGCAGGTTTGGTGTGCACAGAAGACATTCCTTCTGCTCCTTTAAGCTCTCCAAGAGGGCAGGTTGAGAAATGGCAAAACAGGCACCCCACCTTCTCCTGTACTGGCTGATTATTTAAGTGAAACAGAAGTTCCCTTCTTCTGAATACCAAATGGCCTTGAAAGGATTTCCATTCAGTATGTGAACTGTGCCATAGTATGCCACATGCCATAAAATACTCTTTCCCAAGAATAATTGTTGAGATTTGTGCAATTCAAAAATACAAGTCTTTAGCAAACCTTTCAGTTCTTTCTGTGGTTGGAGAATTTTCCATGGTTCTGAGAATTTTCCATGGTTTCTGGTAACTTCTTTTTCTAATATTTTTCTGGATGGTATCCAAAAGGCATCATGTTGTTAACATATATACACAATTGCCGTTAACAGCTGGATTTTCCACCAAAGAAAAGCCACATGCATTGCTGTCTGGTGCTTTCAGTGGAGTTAGTAAATTTGCATTCTGGCCAATGTTGGAATACTTGCCCCAAGACAATGCATAAGTATGTTAAAACTCATTTTGTATATTGAGCAATGCAAATCCCATCTAATGTCACTGCCTGTTCCTGCCTTTATAATCCTCATTTGATTTGATACCATCACCTTAATAATAGAATGTACTTAAAAGACTGCAAGTGATCAGAAATTATCGAAGTGTGCCTTATGGCAGTCTTTCTCCATCCTGGTTCCTCTACAAGTCCTATAATCTTGAAGACTGGCCATGCTGGCTGGGGCACTCTAGTCCAAGTAATCTGGTGGAAACCATGTTGGAGAAGGTTGCCTTGGGGCATAACTACATGGGATTCCCCTCTCTTTCAGGTCCATGATTCAAAGCATCACTAGAATGTGGGGAAAAACCGTGGCACTAGGGGAAAAAATAGATGAAGTAGTGTGGGAGTTATCATGTGTGGCTTGTGCTCAGCCTATGCTCAACCAACATTTTGTTGACAAAGTATAAACTGGCTGCTATCTTGGATGCCCTGTGCCTTAAAACCTGACAGTAAGTCTCCATGGCCATTCCTCTGGGAATAAAAGTTGTAGTCCAAAAACATCTAAAAGGCCAAAGATTCTTACCTCCAAGTCTGTTTGGATTTCTGTAACTTAACATCAATGTGTTATTATCCATTGACACAGTGGTACATTTGCTTTCTGGAAACCATGGAGAAGAACAATGGCTTATGTTATTTTCATGCTTCACCATGGCTTCTCAGAACATCCAGACCTAGATGCTCCATTTTTCAATTATGGTGAAAAAGCACCACAGAGTCTCATGGAAAGAGTGGTAACAGAATTCTAGGCATCTGGTTTCTACTCTCCACATCCTCCTAGCAACACATACAAGTCAAGAATCACTTTCTTCCTATTGGCTAAACACTGTGCCCAGCACCCTGTTAACCAGTAGAAAGTAGGTAAATGCACAGAGGAGGAATTGTAACAGAACAGTTTTAATGTTAAAAAAAAAGTTGGGAGCTGGATTGTCTAGGGAGCATTAAATAGATGGAGGTACAAACAGGAGGGAAAAGAGAGAGAACCCAGCTCAAAGCCTCAGTGGACCAGTCAGGAAGACACAACTGAGACCAATAGGGAAAAATATGGTAAAGAAGGGAAGCTTGTCCCTGTGGGCTCCTGGGATGCACAGTGAGTGGGAAGATAGGGAAGGAAGCATGGCAATTGCATGTGCACAGAAACTACATAACCATCTGATTTTTCCCCTTTCCTTATTTATTTATTAAACTTGTACTCTGCTATACTAGTCTGAATTCTTTCCAAGCAGGTTGCAATATTAATGTAATATTTTCCTTGTGTATCATACATGATCTAACTAGATACAAATGTAGCATAACCCAAATTTAGTTACATTAAATATCTATAAAGTCGAGTGAGGGAGCTTTAAAAGACATCATGGCTTTTAGGTCCCTTCCAATTGTATTATTCTGTGATCTCATTAAACTTCATGCCTAAGTGAAAATTTGAATCTGGATCTTCCTGCTCCTAGTCTGATAAAGGGCAACCACATGTCTCCTTTACAGAAGGCAGTCCTCTATTTTCAATGGCTGCCAGAGGACTATTGTCTTTTTTAAGAGGTGTTTTCTGTCTGGGGGTTCGCGAAGTTTGGTTTGAAAAGGAACCATAAGGATGGAGAGCGCAAGAGCTTTGAAGTGGCTATCAACAGCTTCTTCAGAACAGATTGAGGAAGGCACGCAGGCCTATGAGTCACAGTCATCCCCACGATGGTGAAATCTATACTACCATTTAAGTGATAGCACTTTCTTAATAGAATGCATGCTTGTGTGTTAGCGCAAGCAAATGTTAAGTGGAAAGCTGTCTTCTTTTTTGATGATGTGTGTCTTCTTGCCCAGTGATTCATCACTGGCCCGATTACAAGCTAACCGCGATACCAAACTGATTCTCTAGTTCTGCCTTCGGAGAATGAGCATGTGGGCAGAGCCAATGCCAGTTTTTTCTCTTTGAAACTTTTTTTAGAGTGCCTGGATACTGTAGGTAACTTCAGCAGTAAACAACAGCAACGTGACAGTTCCAAAAGAAGCATTCCCAGTGTGGGAGGATTTTGTGCTTGTCTTCTTCCTCTCTTCACAGCAAGTCAGACACTCTTCCAGAGGCCCAGCTTACCACATTACAGCAGCATGGTTCTCATTGCCCTCATTAGGGTTGTGTCAGTGTTTCCATCATTAACCTTCCTTTTTTAGAGGTTTATGTAACCAAGCCATAAAAATTAGTTCCAAGATCGTGCTGGCAGACACACTTTAGCCTGGGAGCAATATTTCTTTGTTGTTGTGGTTGGTAACTCTTATAATGGAAGCATCTGCAGCCTTCCCTATGTAAGCCTGTTTATTTCCCCAGGCATTTCTAGTGGGGAGAGAACCAACTAGATGAGATGGCAGAACAGGAAGAATACATGTTTGGGTGAGCAGAGAAAGTACTTTGGCATTGCTCCAGTGCATGTTGAATGTGTCTTGATTTTTAAGGTTTTGTATGTGCCTGGAGCCAGGGAGAGGCAACTTCTGAGTGCACCTCAATAAATTTCTGTCATGGATATATTTAGCAGGTGCCCTTGGACATATTCCAGTTTAGTCTTTAAAGGAAGTAAGCAATTGGCACAGCTGACTTGCTGAAGATACCTAGGTGTGATTAGTAAAAAAAAAAATTGTTCCCTACAACCCCGTGTATAGTGACACATCTTAGTTGCTTCTGTTTTGGGCACAGCTGTAATGCTGGTAAGAATGTATTCAAGTGATTACTTTTTTTTTACAATTTATTTTATACACCATGCTTCAAGAAAGACTGTCCTCCCACACTGTGCTTGACCAGAGGTCCTGAGGCACTTCTTTGCCCCTCAGGCCTTCTGTTAGTATTCAGGGGAAATTGTGGGATCATTGAAGAGGGCAGAGCAGGGCGTGTGGATAACAGCTACCCAAAAGTGCTCAAGTGGCACTTCAGGATGGTTTTCAGATGCTCCCTACTTCTGATCCTGGGAAAGAGTGGAAACTTGGTGATTTCTTTGCCAAGACCGACAGAAGAGGGAGTAAGCCTTGTTCTGTTTGGGCAGACAAGGCATGTGCCGCTTGGCCTTCTCTTGAGCTCGCCTGCTGCCATTGTGGCCAGATCATGCTGTGCTCATCCTCCTCTTGAGGAGGGTGTGCACATCATGCCCATTTCCACCCACTCATGAGTTGGCCCCACTAGTATCTGGTACATGTAAGTCTCTCAAGTCCCATTCAGGTACTTACAATGATAGTTATGAGCATAGGCAGACCCTACAGAGAGGAAACGTATGGTGGGCGGGGGCTTAGAATTCACCAGTGAGAACTGGTTGCCTTGTCACTGATGTGATCCATCCTCACTTTCCTCTTCCCAGCTGGGGTAACCAACTAACTTTCTGCTTTTTTTCTCTTTTTCAGATACTCTTCAACAAGAATTCTAATACAGGGTCTTCAGAGAAACAGCAAAGTAAGGTAGGTGGAGACAAACCATTTCTACCAATGTCTTACAAAATACAATGTCATCTTTAACAGTGTGTGTGTGTGTGAATGCCGTCACATAGAGTACCTGATAAGTTCAAAACCAAATGTTCATTTAGCAACTTTACAGATCAGTCTTCTAGCACCAGTCTCTGCTGCTTTATCTTGCTGCTTCATGGAGACATCATTGTTGGAACTTTGCTTCTGGCCTGTCCAGAACAATCTTTTTGAGAAAATGTCTGCCACTCATTTTCAGTGCTGCTGTAAAGAGGACCATGCTGTTGAATAGCTTTTCCCAGTGGTCTCATTCCAAAAGTCCAATCTCTGCTCCTTCTGTAACACCAGCATTATCATGAAGAGTTTCCCCATCAGCAACTGCATCTTAAGGTAACAAACAATGCAAGCAACTGTATCCAGAAAACACTCAGTAGCTTCATTTGTGTACAAAATGATGCCAGGAGATCAGGAAGAAATCTGACCAAGCTCTTGCAAGAACAATATATTCTTCTGGAACCCTGTTGTAACTGAAAATGCGTACTGACAGGAAGCTTGTACAATAGTAAGGCCTTCATACCATTTGCCCAACAGACATTGTTTGAGCAAGCCTTTTTTAGAGTCAGAGTATGAAAGTGTCATGGAACCTGCAAGAAAAAAGCACATTAGAAATACTGTGTCTTCCAGGAATTACAGACAGATGAACAAATGTGAAGGAAGAAGGAATTAATAAACTTTGTGATAACAGCAGCGCTTCAACCAGGGTTTTTTTTTAAACAGAAGCACTGGAACAGGAGAGAACAGACAAACAGCAAGTATATCAGTTGTAGAAAATATGAAATCCTAAAGAAAATAGGGAGTGGTACAGTATTTGCATTGCTGACTGAAGGTTGCAAGTAATCTGAAAACAGCGTAAGATTTCAAAATTAGTAAGTACCCAGATCCTACTGCAATAGGATGTCTATGTCATAGGCTAAACTTGCTTCTTAATGAAATAATGAATCTGGTCAATTTACAGATGATCAAAAGAAGTTATAAAAGCTGAAGTTAAACATACTGTAGCTGCAGAAGAAGCAAAAAGAAAAACATGCAAAGAATAAAATAGGGATATTCAAGATCTGCAGTAAAACTCAATAGGATGAGTGGTAATCACCTCTGAAAACAAAGAAGAAAACAAAGAAAGAAAACAAAGAAGCTCTTTGGGAAAAACACTAATGACTGAGTACTGTAAAGCTTCCAGATGTGTAAGGAACGCTGCACTTGATAAGGGTGTCTTCTGTGTTTAGCTGCAGAACTCCAAGGAGATTCTGAAGCCAGTTCATTCAGCAATCATTGCATCTGAATCAGACTGTGCTCCATGGACGGAAATTCCTTACCACATGGCTATGATAAAAAAAGTTTTTAAGGTTTTACTTGTATCTTCACGTACAACTACAAAAGAAAATTAAATGAAAGCTCTTATTAAGAAATGGGAAGAATTTTATTGTCATTCAACCCCTGCTGCTACAGATCAGATCCAAGATTCAAAGGCAAAAATGTAGCTAGTGATATAACTGCTGCAGCATTTGACTGGGTGACAAAGCAAGCAGATGAGCAGCACACTTAGGATTTGATGTTGGAAAAGTGCTTACAAATGTTGCAGAATGCAGAATATCCTCAGGGATTTGGTTTGAGAATGCAGTTTGGGATCCTGCCAAACATATCCCTCATGCATCATGGTCTTTGCATGGCACAACCTGACTCCTCTTGCTTTCCCTCTATCTTCTGTAGCTGGTCAATGTCTGGAAATATTCACAGCAACCAAGAAATAAATGGGTGTGTGAAAGTGTAGAGAAGCTTGTATCAATCTGGGCAAACTCAATTTTTAAAGCCCATGAGAACTATGAAGAAGCAGAAGAAGCAGAAGAAGCAGAAACTGAAATTGATAGCGGTACCAAAGAAAATGAGGCTGGTTAAATCAGATGTATACTCTTTGAGACCCACAAGCTTACTCATTTTCATCAGTTCCTTTTTTGGGAATGAATGCTTCATGTTTACTTGATGCTGTGCTTAAAGGACTAGAGGAGACACAATTTTATGTGTTTTACTAATATTGATAGTTTCCTGTTTTTATTGTTTTTTCCCCTGTTCTTCATAAGCTAGTAAAACCAAAGAGTTTCCTTACAGTTTAGAATACGAACAGAACAGTATAAACGTGTTAAAAATTAAATTGAATTTCTAGCTATTTTTCTGAATAAACTGTACTTGCAATATGTCAGACATGATAATTTTATGGTCAGATATACTTAAAGTTCGTAAAGTGGCAAAACAACTTTCAGTCTGTAAAGAGTGCTAATACTGTGGGGTTTTTTCAGTATTTCTGAAAGTTGAATGATTTTTTAAAAAACCAGGAAAAATGGTTTGTTCCCATGGCTTCATAATTTCCAGAAATTTTAGATCTATAGGGTGGACTCTACTTTTTTACTTCTTACTTCCCATCCATAAAAGTGGGCGTTCCACACTTCAGTTTTCTATTGATAATGTATACCATGATCTCTTATCCATCATTATTTAAATACTCTTTGTCTCTGTATTGAACATGTGGGTTTATACTGACGTCTAGAAAACCTGGATGTTTCCTAGTATTTTCAGAACTATTTCACCACCTGCTCTTCCAAATGTAACTTGTAATCTTAACAAATTGTTCAGCTTTTGTTGTTGTTGTTGTTAGTCGTGAAGTCGTGTCCGACCCATCGCGACCCCATGGACAATATTCTTCCAGGCCTTCCTGTCCTCCAACATTCCACATAGTCCACTTAAGCTCATACCAACTGCTTCAGTGACTCCACCTAGCCACCTCATCCTCTGCAGTCCCTTCTTCTTTTGCCATCTATTGTTCAGCTTTTACAATCACTGTAAAGAATGGGCATCTCTGCATTCAGAAGTAAATAGCCATTCCCTTCTTACTATAGGGAAAGAAAAGAGTTCTGCTCTTCTCAGAAACATATGGTGGGCAGACTCACTGGAATCCAGTTAACATCGACTGATCATTTAGGTAGGATGAAGAGGGTTGGGAAAACTTTACAGTAGTGTTTCCTAGCTGTGAATAAAATGGAAAGCAGGAACAGACATCAAGGATCTTTCAACAAATGTAATTTAAGGGGTTCACTTTCAGGTTGTTTTGGGCACTCTGACAAGCATTTAATGGGATTTGACCAGCTACTGAGTAGCAACAAGCAGCTGCCTTGGTACAGCTTGGCCATGATGGCGGATGGTGGGGGGAGAGATTTGGGAATGGTATGATGCATGTCTGAGTCCAGCACAAAATTGAGTTGCGAGTGTGTGCGTGACTGCCTGTCATGACTTTCACTATGCGATGAGCAGACACCCTTCTCCATAAGGAGGTGAAAGTAAAAGCTGAGGCAAACACTTCATTGTTTCCAGACGTGGGGAGACCCCTGGGAAGCCCTGCAGCTCCAGGTGGCTAAAACGCAGAGGAAAAACACAGGGGAAAAGGAGTAAAAGACGTTTTCATGTTGGTATTGCACAAAACAGGTTATGAAAAGAAGCTGCTGTGTTTTGTTGTAGAGAACGATCAGAAATGTTTGGGAAAGGTCATTGTTAGTCTTATCAATCACATGATATATCTGAAGGCAAGCACATCCCTACATACCTTTAATGAAATTTGTCTTTGTTAGTGGAGATCTCTAGTATCTGGTTTGGGGGTGAGGGAATAGAACCAAGGGAATAGCTGAAACACACTTATTGGGCATAAGTTGTCTATCTGAAGTTTTAGTAAAAATCCAGGTTGTTTTTTTGATCCCACTGAGTATTTCCCCTTCGTTGCTTTTGTTCCACGTAACCTTTGTTCATGTCTTTGTTGCATCATGGGATTTTAACAAATGAGTGGGAAATAATCTAATTGCAGGCATTCCAGTTGGTGCAATGCAGCCAGGTGTGGCTCTTGGCTGTTGCTGCTGGTGCTAAGCTCAGAGTGTTTCCAGGTAAGGGGCAAGTAGTTGCGTGTAGCTGCTGATTGGTCCCCACCGCCAACTGATACTGGCACATGCTAGATGCAACTGGATGCTCAGCAAATGCACTTTTGCACAGTGCCAACCCAGCCAGCTCCTGCTTCCAATACTGCCCTGAGATGCTCAGCAGAAGGCCTTGCTTCTCATGTAGCAGTGGCTACTGTGCGCTGGATTTCACTCCATGCCAACAGCCTCATAGGGTCAAAAGAATCAGATAGCAGTTCATTGATTCACGTCCTGTGAACCAGTCTTGTAATCACTGGGTGGATATCTTGTAATTATTCGATATGTTCAGGAAGAAAACAAAGCGATGAAGATCAGGTTCTGCCTTGTATTAAATAAAGTGGGGCTGTCATCTCAGGGAGAAGATACCACGAGGTAGCAGCAAGGTGCTGGAAGAAAGAGCTGTGTGCTACACAGCCTACATTAGCCTCCAAAGCTAGTTTGCTGTGTTCAAGTGCAGTGGAGGAAGCTATTCTAGCATCAGTTTTGAAAAGATTCAGCTGCCAAACAATTAGTCATGGAATAATGGTGGGGTGTCAGGCAGGAGAGGGCTCCAGGTCAGCCCTGATAGATGCATGCATACATATAACAAAAAGAAGGCTATTTATTTCTAAATGTACTGAGCATGTATGTCTACTGGCACTACATCAAGGAGCAATATCAAGGAACAGAACTAGATTTTGGGTTTGTATGTAGGGTTTGGAAGCCAGAAGAAGTTTTTCTGCTCACTGTCTTCTCAACATCTCTCTGGGCAGATCTGAGCCCTCTCAGGAAGTGTTTTGTTCCTTCAGGTTGCGACTCTAGAGGTGAAGTTAGGAGAAAGTGCTGGAGGGCAAGTCCTGGATATGTGAGAACTGATCATTCCCGTTCCCCTTGCTTCCCAAAGTCCTGTTCCAGGAAAACTATCACTAACAGTTTAAGGAAAAACAAGAAAAGCCCTGCTGGATCAGATCAAAGGCTAATCTAGTCCAGGTGCCCATGGGAGGC